AGATTAAAGTTTTATATGTTGAACGTAAAAATTATGAATTTAGTAACTATATATTATCTAAATTAAAAATATATTATTGTTTTAAGTTATGGCCTTGGGTATTGATATTCATTATAATAAATAATATAATAACAAATGATTTATATAAAGAGATTAACAATTGTTTGGTCAATATAAACAAACAAATATTCTTGTTAGGCAGGTACATAAATATGATTTTAAATTTCACTTATAATTTCTTCACATGTCATATGTGCCATACTTTAGCACTTTCCCTCAAGATTTTCTTAAGTGTTCAAACGACCTATCCAAGTTTGTTTGTTACCCATAGTTTATGAATCATTTTTAGAGATTAACAATAATATATTAAGAAGTTATGATAGTAGGTATTTAAAAGGTACCTTGATGTTGGCTGGCGGTTCTTCAAACGTTAACAACATGTATCTATCGCCTCGGCTCTCTGAAGATCGCTGTCTCACCTATATCAAAGGAATATAAAAAAAAAAATTAAATAAAACAACCACTTGGGTCGGTGATTTATTGCGGCGTGTAAAGGCGGCAAATAAACCGACGAGAAGGGCGACGTGCGGGTGGGCTGAGGCACAAACCTTCACAAAGGACTCGACGGCCCCTTTGGCGATGTCTAAGAGCGTCGGCCGGCCACCCATGTAAGTCCGCTGGCACATGGACGCCGAGGTGTCAATGAGGAATACTATGATAGTCATGCCTCAGGAGTGGCGGGGTCGTGTAAAAGAATTCAAAAATGGTCAGAGTGATGCATATTTTGAAACCGAAACAGCGAGAAGCGAGGCAGACGAATGCGACTAGGAGATGACGTTATCGCTATCGACACGAAACGTGGTACGGAGCGGTCAAGATCAAAAGTGAACAGCGACGGCCATTTTAGACGGTCGTCTGTAGGAATTCGGTGCCTGTGCGATTGAGAAACTGCAAGTGGAGCGCGCGCAACCGTCGTTCAACAGCCGACTTGTAACATTGCGTCGTTGTCGAAAATGATCATAGTAAATGAGCTCGCCGAGAGAGGCTTGTCGATTCCGCGAGAGCGCGCTGTACCGGCGGCGAGTAACCCGTTCGACCACYGCTGCGGGAAATCAACAAAATTGGTGCGTACTGCGTATGGTATTGCCTATTGCGGCGTTTGCTGATTGAGGGGTGTGTAGTTTTTTGTGCTTGCGTCTGTGGGGTGGTGGGAGGGATAAATCATAAATCGACGATTCGACGACCAGACGATGTTCTAACTTCTAAGTTCGAACTGACCAATTGAGTGAACTGACGATTTATAATTAAGTGATTTGCGACCATAGGGCATACCACGGCATAGACTTTTAAAAATGGAAGAAAGATAATAATTTTCTATTACTATGTCCGTGTTCGCGACAAATGACGATCGTACGGTAACCATATCGGTTCCACCGGATTCACGATAATGTAAGTCGTGCAGACGAGCAGAGAGCAGACATGCAGTACTGCAGTCGAATGGTCTGTAGTTTTGTACAATTGTACTTGGAGCTTGGAGCGATCCGCTATTCTGTTGCTGTCGGACGTAGAGTGTGGATGCCAATAGCATAATTAATTACTATTATTACTCCTATTTCTTAATAATTTATTCTCTGCACAATTCTACACTTGTACTATTCAGTACTTATTCATTTGGAAAAAAACTCAAAACCGTTCTCAAATCTCAATCCTCATTCCTCATCGAGACATCGACACGATTTTTGCGCGCTACCATCGACCGATGTCTCGCCCGCCGGGGTGGCTGCACTGTATGAGTCAATGACATCACCATTCCCGAACATTATGACGTGAAATACATAATATTGTAGTAAGATATAAGAACATATCTCCCGGACGGCGGTCTATGGAGTACGGAGTGTCCGATAGTCTACGACACCGACACGCATTGGCYGGCCCGCACGGCGCACAGTCTGTGTCGCCGCTGCTCGGTGCACAGTGCTCGTAGGCTGTTGTCGCCCACTGCAGTTCGCACCAGTTGACCAGACGACCAGTTACCATTGCGGCTTGGTACTCGGTGCCCGGTGGTTCTGTCTGTGGYCCGTGCTCGGTAGTTCTATCCACTGCGTTATTTTTGAATTCGAAATGTTTGTTCACAATAGTTTTAGGTAAATTAACATCGATCTCAAGTCCCATTCGGGTTTACGACAATGTCAGTTATATACGGTGCTATCGTTTTTAATAGTCGTACTAAGGTGCATTTCTCACTGAAATTGCAATTATTTTACATCAATAATCTTTAATATCTATACGTTTCATCATATTATTTTTTTTAATATACCTAGGTAGTAGGTTCCTATAGCTAATAACCATTTAAACATATGTAAGTACTTTAACATTCATATTAATAACTATATTATTTATGTAAAACATTATAATATAATATGCAATAGGTAAAAAAACTGTATAAATTAGATATTGTATTATTTCATATTTATTTAGATATTCATAATATAGTTTGGTGCTGCTTTACTAAATACATACAARTTAGATATTGTTGTATACTTATATTAAATAACATTTGTATTTTAAATTAATTAAATGTAAATAATTAATAATATTCAAACTTATTTAACATACCTTGGTACCAACCTATAAGTAGGTACT